AACGATTATCCTTGTTCTAAGGCATGGATTTCCGAGCATGCGTTGAAAAAGGCAACTGGAACTGGGTGCTCCATGAAAGATGATTCGAATAGATCCGCTGGATGCACCATGGCTTAGTTCCCGTAATGTTTGCTATTCGAAATTTTCGTGAGGAGCAGAAACCATTATATTATATTTATGTTTTTATTATATTGATTTTATCACCTCAGTATTGTCTGATAAACTCGCGTCGAATGGTGTGTCAATTCAAAAATGTTTCAGACAATCATTGAGGCTGACGATGGGCTTTCCAACGAACTATGGTTTGCGATTTGTCAACAGGCTGACATGAGCCTTCAGGTCGTGTCACAGTCTTTTGGCATTCGGGATTTGTTAATGATCAATCAGTTTCCAGCCAATAATGCAGTCTGCTGACAGTATACTGATGCAAACCGTGTCATTTTATGTTTTGCGGCTTTTGCCCACAGAGCATTGTGCTCCTAATGTTGGCCGTGCTCCTTTGGTCGGCGAAATGGGTCATCGAAAGCACACCCCACTGGATCTTTTTCTACCAACGTCTCCAGTACTGAACTCAATGAAACTTGGTGCGTTTGATCTAGTTTTGCACTCCTACTGAGAGTGTGTCCATACTTTGCATCAGCCTGAGCGTTTTGTGCGACTCAGAATGTGTTGGTATCGATCAAGCGTCTTGAGCGTACACAAGCGTATGCCAGAGTTTTCAGCTACTGGGGAAATATCAGTATGCCAGATCGATAGCAATAGCTTCCTTATCGCTGAAAACGCTGCTACACGCTGACATATGCTCAAAACGCTCACGCAAAGTATGAGCGCCCCGTAAGGCTGGGTTTGCAGTCGGCTACTCGAGCGATTAGTCGCGAAGTATGGAAAGCGTGCATGTGTTACCGATTGCGCTTCACCGCTAGCATTTGGGTTGCAAAAGCTGACGTCCAAGAAATTCTACCATGAAGCGTATGCTATACTCTCTGAAGGAAAAGGTGTCTCCCAGCAAGTCTCCCGCTGCTGCCGTTAACGCTACTGATAGCCCCCTCACTAAATCCTTGCTCTCCCACTTTTCTGCCTAGGGCACTTGAAGAGGTGAGAAGATATAACGCAGCTATCGATTCCCCCGAGCTCCAGTATATTCACTGAGAGCGTGCGATAGCAGAACAGGGATACGGAAAAGCGAAAACCAGAAAGAAGAGGACATCGGTAGAGTTAGCGGTAGAGAGCGCAGGATCACAGGGGAATCTCTTTCCTTCGAGAGGAATTATGGCGTACGGCCTAAGAATCTGGTCGGATCAGCAGTCGCAGCGGCTCAGCCATTAACTGTGAGCCGCAGTCAGTCGAAGTCGCTTAATTTTGAAACGGCTTTCGTAGCGAAGCATGAAGTGGTATGCTACTTAAGACTCAATTTCAGAATCACAAGAGTTCTTCTCGTCATCGCTCCATCCGCGGCATTTGACGATTTTTTGCAATTTTGTCAGCATTCTTTGCTCCACGAGTGACTTCCCATCAGCGAATAGATTAATGATATTGAGGTATTTTGATTCTGAACCTGTCCTTCTTAAAATGGGAATTTGAAAAATATAGTATTTCTCAGGTATCTCTTGAAACAATTCCACGTCTTTTGTCTCTATGACGTGGCTGATCAAGACATGCTCGCTGTAAAGGTAACCTCGTAATTTGTCAAAATATTCGAGTATTACATTTCAAAAATTCTGAGTTATGGGCAGAAACCATTCATTCTTGCTGGGATTTGAACAGGGATCTCACGCTCAAGCTGTTGTGCTAACCATAACACCACTAGGATAGCATTTTCTCCTCCCAGCTTAAGGCCGCGTTCGTACTTTGCAATTGAGGAGACTCGGGGATTTGGGAGATTTTTCTCGGCATTTCGAGGTATTTCACAACGAGGAGGTCTGGCGGTTGGGATGAATCCGGCTTCTTGGGCGACTCGGCGTTTCAGGCGACAAGGCCCTGGATGCGTATCGATCGGCGCTGGTCGCTAGCAATTGCGGAGATACGCCGATCCAGCGATCATCCCATGACGCGAATTCGACTGAACGCCGGGTTTCCTTAGTCGCAAAGTATAAATGCGGCCTAATGGTTTTTGTCATTGTTTATCTTATATCTTATTTCATGTGAATCCATGCTATCAACACATTTTTACAGAGCTCTCTCCACTGTCGGCCACCGTTTTCTTCTCATCTTTTTACGTTTCTTTACACTTTTCTTGAACAGTGCCCTACAGCGTTTCTTATTCAAGGACCTTGTCCGTGAGTTCACTGCAAATGTTCCTTTTTACTAAACATGTTTTCTTTCGTTTGAAAGTGGTCAGAAATTTTGCGGGGTCTCCACTAACAGGAGAAATTCATGGTTCCCTGTTTTACTGAATCGTGCAAGTTTCTTTCCTGCTCGTCTGTCAAGTAAAAGCGCAAAACTTGTTTCAGTTTTGATCTTCAGATTGTCGAAAGCGCGCTAGTAACAGCTCGATTCGTCCCTTTTTCGAGCGAAAATAGTCCTTAGGCTGCGTTCATACTCTGCGGCAGCGTCCACAGCGACCAGCAGCGTCTACCAGCGTTCCGAGCGTCCAGCAGCTCTCAAGTGCTAGGGGAGTGTAAGTATCAATCTAGCGACAGCAGCGTCCGGGAGTGGAAAGTATGGGGCGATAGGAGGGTACCAGTTGTCTGCTACCTTCCTACCGCCCCATACTTCCTAGACGCTGCTGGGCGCTGCTGGCCGCTGGCAGACGCTGACAGACGCTAGTAGACACTATGTTGATAAGGATACTCCTAGTTACTGACGCTCGGAACGCTTGTGGACCTGTTGGTCACTGGTGGACGCTGCCGCGAAGTATGACCAAAGCCTTCCAACAGTGGTTTTTTATGCGCCTTCTCACCCTTTCCTATCAGGTTAAGCAATTTTGCAGTTGTGCGATGACCGTAGTTCAGCACATCCGGGCAGTGTTTGCAATCCGTGCGATCCGTGGGTCAGATCCCAGCTCGACTCCCGCCCAGGCCAATGAGGCTTCCTGTGCGGGTCCGGTAGATTGACGCATAACTCGTCATCGCGTTCTATAAGCCACCACGAGATTCTGAATGGAAGTAGAATGCTGAAGCATCCCACGAAAGAGACTGATCGACAAAGGCTTTACCCTTTTGCTTTGCTTTTTTTTACCAAAACTTCAATCGGGACATATTGTTTGTTGCTGAATTTGTTACAATCTTAATGGTCCTGTCTGGTTATTTAGAATGCTGGATGACGTTTTGTCGTCCGTGGCGATACGCAGACGCCCTAACAAGCCTTTCTACTGCGGACTTTTTGAGAGGGCCGTGGATGCCCTTTATACGGGTCCACGAGAAGTTCTATAGAGTTCTTCTCGGGAAAATTTTGCGAAGGTAAGCTATTTTATTTGCAGCTTCTTTCTTCGGATTATGGTATCTTATCTTTACCTGCTTTAGAGTTGCAATGTTCGACTTGACAGCGGAAAGTATCAAAGTAATTCGAGCCGCTGTAGAATTTTCATGGAAGGAGCCAATGGTATCAATGCTAAGGTTAGCTAGCATCTTTAATAAATAACCCACTGGAGAGAATTAGGTCGCCCGTTTTAGGGAGCTAGGCGTGAATTCTCGACCCCATACGCGGCAACTTCTGGAGACGGTTTGCACGAATTTGCGCCCAATGAAAAATGCAGTCGCTCATCAGCAACAGACGGTAATCTTTACAGGTAGTGAATAACATTATTTCTCGAGTTATTTTTTAATTTGTTATGTTTCAGCGAAAGCAGTCTTTGTGGGACACTCTGTTTGGAGAACCTGAACCGCCGGCCGTTCGTGAGCAATGTGAGGTCATCGAATGCGTAGAGGGACTGCTTGCTGACGCGGACGCAAATATGGGCACTCACTTCATTGCTGAAGTTAATGGCTCCTCAAGTGCAGCTACCGCTAGGTACGATGTTCTGGCCTTATTTGCTGAAATTCCACAGGTGTTGCATCAAATTTCACATTATAGTAATGTGCCGAACCGCACGCCGCTATTGTCGGAAACTCCAAAACGTGCTCCGCCTCGTCTGCTTCCGGATCATGTTAAAGATCCTGTCACCGGACTCATGTATTTGACCGAACTCGGGCGACGTCAAGTCTATAGTGGCGAAAGGTAATTTCAGTAAAGTTCCCTTCTCGGTCAAAACGAACGAATTTAGTCTACGGATCCTTGGTTTTTCGAACATTTTAAGCGACTAGGCTTATCTTTGGGCTGAAGGCTATTTTTCTATCCGTTTGATCTTCCTTGAAAAGTTTCAGTGCCAGCGAAAATGGCCAACAGTTGAAGAATAATTGTACACTCAGCTCTGGATTTTTGTCCTTGCCGTGTGTGGGGGAAAATAGGTCCGCAGCTAAAGTAGCGGTGCCACTTACTCTGGTCAAAAATGCAAGAATGCTAATTGCTCGAGAACGGCGCTAGAGTGTGGTGATCCCCAGGAACCGACTCTATTCTCAAGGTGCAGCGCCACTTGTTGCCTCTTACTTATTGGTTGTTCTCCACGCTGAGTGCAAGAATCGCTGCGGGACATTGGTGTCGAAGCAAAGTGCTGCATCTTTAGAATAGCGCGGGCGGAGTATGGAGACGGCGCTTATACCCTACAGCCCCGTTCCCGTGCAGTTTTGAGAAGGGAATTCGGTACGCTACTGCAGCTGTGACTCATTTGCCCCGCACATGGCAAGGATCCGTCCTTGAAGTAGAATGTACAATTTATTGCCAATAACAGGTCTTTACTTATGGAGTTGAGGAATACGTTTTTCGGGAGAGACTTTTGCGGTTTGGAAAATGCGTGGAAAGGTAGAATCATCTCAAAAAATCAAGATTTGAAAGAAAGAATCGGAAGCCGATTGACTGCGGCGCTCCGCGAAGCGCTGGAGTGCTGGCTGGCGTGAATCATTCTCTTTCGCAAGGTATAATCGCGGTTCAGCTGAAATGAAAATTGAGAGGTGCAGTAGTTATCACTGAGGACCGTCGGAGCGGGTCAGCGTTGCATGGGTTTCGGCGCGGCGCCATTCCGTTCCCCATCGATTGTTGCGGCTTCAGGCATTCAATGATGAGGGAGGTGCTATGTCCGAGACCGCCAAAACAGAGCACGCAGACGTCGCCCCAGCTGACCTAGGGGGTAACGATCGTTCAACAAATAGTTCTGAGTAGCAGAGGGATTGGAAACCGAATTGTTGTTGAGAACAAAGTGCAGATTATCTAAACTAGGAATTGGCACTAAGCCTGCATGAGCCGAAACGAACATATTCACGATTGTTCTGTATTTCAGGCGTTGATTTCTTTGTGTTCGCAATTGTTTACCACAGTGGAGATCGCTGGCTAAGCCGTATGAATTTCCACCTTTCGTAGCCCTCCTAACCAAAATCAACGAGTATTTGAATCGGACGGCTATTGTTAGCACTATTGCTGGGGAGTATTCAAAAGACAGTGGTTAGTTTAGCATAATTAATTCTCTTCAACTTTGGTAATCTTTTCGGATAATGCGAAAACTATTTCAGTTCTTGGCACGATTGCGAGAGCAGTCATGGATCCTCCTTTCCCGAATCCATCAGGCCCACTCTCCTCTCCAGTTTTCTCAAAAACTGTGAAAGTTACTCCTCCTACGCTACGTATTCGGGTAGGAGTACTGTTAAAAACTCAATTGTTTATGTAGACATATGAATATTGCGTTCAGATCTTGGCGAATTATGGTGTTTTACTTGATTCCTTCATCATTTTCCTCTTTGTCCGATACGGGATCTGGGCTCTGATCCCAGTGTTGCTAACATCGTTCATTTGTGCAATGTTCTGCCTTGCAGCCGAGATCTCTGAAGCGTTTTAATTTTGTACAGGACATAAACCATCATTTATTTTTTTAGTCTTTAGTTTTATTTTTTTTTGTAATATTAATAGTTGTTTTGTAGTTTGTAGGAGTGTGTTTCATGGTTCACTTATTACGTGTTTTATTTCTCCGGTTGATTGACTGTGTACTACGGACTGCGTTCACACTTACGCTCAAGCAATTTGATGCGTCACGGTAGCGTTCGCTGGGCATCGACCTGTCAGCTGAAAAGCTTTTGATGGTGCGCTCAAAACGCTAGATCGATATCTGTACTTTCCTAGTCGCTCAAAACGCTGCCGTACCTTCAGAACGCTAACTCTAAGTATGAACGCAGCCATGTGTTTGTGTTGAACTGCGCTCTAAGAGCGTAGAACATTTTTGCGATACGCTTTGTTAGTTTGTTTATTATAATGGATATTTCGCACTGCCATTAATAAATATTTGACAGGTTTTCAAAAAACAGCATAACCAGCGGAATGAGTACACCACGGATGGTTGTTTCGCTGGGCTCTTTATAATAGATCGTCACAGATATAGGGCAAGAGTTCGTTCGGAATCCTCATGCCTCGTCCAGATACGTTCACAGATATCTCGTGCATGTAAAATCTAGAGAGAGAGGAGTACGAAGCAAGCGTGGTCCTTACGGTGAAAATAGTGGGATGTGGATAGTTCGCGGCGCCAAGCCGTTTTTCTACCAGTCATTAAAGATGAGCATTAGGAAAAGGCTAGCAGTATCGTCTTGCATGCTGTCATTTCAAGACTTGTTCGTACCAGGTTCAACAGCCAGTGGAGAACGGTTTTGGCAGTGCGCCAAGCCCCTCCCGCTTGTCACGCCTCTTCATCCACAGCGAACAAGACTGCATGGAGATCTCGTCTCAGATATACTTGCTCAACCGGCGAAGCCCTCCCGTGCCTCCGTCTTTCTCTCCATTCTTCCTTCCTTCCTTCATTCTACCTCCTCCCCTCCTTTGCCTTCTACCTTCAACTACTGGACCAGTAGACGCCATGGGAAAATATCTTTCGACCCTCGCAGCGAGAGCATGCCGGTTGACAAGTGCCCTGTACTATGAGATCCTTCAAAGATTGGGTGTGGAATACGAAGTTGTTTAGGCACAATGACTATGGAAGAAGAGGTGGACAGGGAACGAAAGCCGTACGAAAGCGATCGGGTCTGGCTGATTCGGCGAACTTTCCTGCGCAAGTATTGGACAGAAATGCCAAGGTATGTGAAAGTGTTACATTTCCAAATGAACTATGGATGCGGATCGACAAGTGAGACTGCGTTTGGCGGCGAATAAATCTGGGGTTATGCACACCCTTGGTGATCCGTGTCTTTCAATATCCGGTTCTCTTGAAAATGTCTATGTTCAGTTCAGACTAATGTATTTGTTTAGCCTATTGCCTTCTCTTATAGGGCGATGGCGTGTGGTCTGACCGGTTGATGCATATGTAGAGTGAAGTGTTCCGCTTCCATATCCCAGATTCTTTCGTTGAACGGCGTTTATAGCGCGCCGACTCGAGCAATCCTTTGTCGAAACACGCGCTCTAGCGTTAATCGTTGGACTGCTGCAAAGAATGCTACCAATCACCGGTGGAGCGCCGTTGACTGCGGTCTCGTAGTTTTGAATAGCGGTTGCGAAGTACGAACACTTTCCGGAGGCAAGGTGTGCGTGGTTCGAAAAACTTACCGGCGAGGGTGCGCGTGTTTCCTGTCACCGCGCCGATAACGCGGCCAAAAGAAAACGGAAGCCAGCGCTGTATCATTGCATTTTTGAGGCAGTGAACTTTCCTGCATTTTGCCGATGAATGGTAAACAATAGTAGGACAAGGGGAAGGCAAGAAAAAGTTGATGACTGATTAGCAGCACTGGAACATGGAATGCAAGAGGCGTATTCCAAGGATAGGCGAAATATTTCTTGAATGATATGCTGATTCCACGCGGTTGTCGATTGTACTTACCCCTGCGTGCTCGGTCGCCACGGCCGAGGGCGAACATGGGCTGATAAAGAGCAAGTCCATCTAGCTGTGGTCATGGCAGCGTGACCTGTGTTCGCTGCTCTAGCGACATAGCTCGGCAAGGGCCGGGTGCGTGCTACGTGAGTTTTTTTCTCCCGCAGGTGAGCGACAGCGAGATGAGGGCAATAGCTTTTGAACTACGAGGTACGTGGGACGTTTGTGAAGAAACAGCTACAGTCAATGCAAAACGCGCAAAAATATAAACCACACCAGATTTCGGCAACTAAAAGGCAGGAACGTGCACCCCAAGGTTGAAACCCCCTGTTTCTCTACCACCTTGTGTCATTTCAACGTTTTATCGCGCGGCGAAAGTCTTGTCGCGTGCGCATTTCATGCAAGGAACAAATTTATGCGAATTTTCAAGTAGTTTATACCGCCTGCCTTCTCGCATGCCTTCTCGCAACGGTGGTATGAGGCCTTACAACACTTCAAAAAACGTCATCTGAACAAAAAAAACATCAATGTTTCGACAAAAGTATCTTTTAGGGACCAGCTGTTATGTATGTCACAACTTTTCATCAATGTCAACATGATAGGATGTACGTATAGTGATGCTGTGATGGAAAAAATTCGGAGGCTGGGTGCAGGAGTG